TCCATCACTTCTTTTTATATATTTCCTTTTTTTAAAAAAAGTTAACTTTGGTAACTACAAGAAATCAATTTCATTTGCTTCCTCTGCCTGATTTTGGGGTGGAAAATATTCCTTTTGACGGGTGGAGAAGACACCCCATTTCAAACACCCCAACTTGCAAAATGGCTATTTATTCCGATCGTCTCCCCAAAGAGCCCAAAGTTTCAGGTGACATCACCCGATGACATCACCGTGAAGTCGCCCGGAGGAGGCGGAGCCAGGGACAGAGTTGGCTGGGTATCTGGCAGCTTCCTGGGCTTGAAAAGGGGAGAATTGGCAACAGGAGGCGGAAGCTTTGAACTTGTTCCGCTCCAGCGAAAGGGGCTTTTCCGGTGAATATCAGCAACCGAAGCCCCATTTCAGGAGGGAAGTGGAAGGGGAGGAGGAGACTGTATGGTCCTTAGTGGTTTTCCTGCAGACATTTCATGACCCAGCTAGGTTACATCATCAGTACTACAATAGAAGGGGGTGGGGTTTGCAAAGAAGAGAGGAGGAGCAGGAGGAGGAGAAGTTGGAAGAAATGGAGATGGAGGAGGAGGAAGAGAAGGAGAAGAGAAGAAAGAGAAATCATAATTCCTCCTCATAGCACTAATTTATGCTGACACATTGCTATTAATTGTGCCATATTTTTTTTTCACATCTCACCTGATAGCAAAGTAAGTGTGAAAAGCAGCGTGAAGAGCAGCCAAGGACACCAGGAGCTCCAGGCCCTTCTGGGCTGCTCAGGATGCCTCTGCACCCACCTCCCCGTCCCTCCTCACCCCGGTGACTCCGCCATTTGCACCTCTAGCAACTCAATGTTTTCAGGCCCCTGAAAGAGTCTTTCTATCAGCCTCAACACTGCAGGGAGCGGATGTGAACTAAAATGGCAATTAATTTGGAAAAACAGCTCTCTGTTAGGGTTGGTTTTAATGTTTGGGAAGGAAGGAATTCCTGAGCTGTGTATGATCGGAGTATCGCCAACACATTTTCTCAAACTTTCCCACTCGTCTCCCTTTCTTTCTTTCTCTCCCCCCCCCCCCGGGCCTTCCGCTCTCACTTAACGGCAGGGTCACCTTCTACAACACCTTAGACTTCCCCCTAATCCCGGTCTGGATTTATGCATTTAATTACTGGGCCGCCGTCCCTGCAGGTCCGTGGCTTCTGCAGCCAGCAAGTGGGGGGGTGGGGGGGGCGTCTGTTTATTACAGATGATGCTTATAACTCTCCTTCCTCGCTTGTAATTACCGGGGGACACGAAGGGCAGAAAGTTTCCAACGCCAGCGAGAGAATCACCAAGGGGGGGATACTCTCCAAGGCAGGCAGTCCTCGACTTACGACCGCAAGGCTGCCTTGTCCATCTTGGTCGTATGGCAGGTCACCCAGGTGACCAATCTGTTTTTACAACTTCTTTCCTGCCTGTGGTTAAGCTCTTCAGGCATCGCAGGCAGAGAGGGGGGGGAAAGGAAGTCCTTGATTTACGAACACAACTGAACTCAACGTTTCTGTTGCTAAGTGAGACGTTTGCTAAGTGAATGAGCTTTACCCCATTTTACGACGTTTTTAACCTCAGTTAAATGAATCACTGCAGTTGTTAAATTAGTAACATTTTATAAGCATCTTCCTCCCTCCCTCCCTGTTCCTTCCTCCTTTCCCTCCCTCTCCCTTTTCCTTCCTTTTCCTTTCCTTTCCCTCCCTCCTCTCCTCTCCTCCCCTTCTTTTCTCTTCTCTTCTATCCTTTCCACCTGAGACGCTTCCAATCTTTGCGGTCCTACCCCCCCCCTCCCTCCACAGCCAGTCAAAGCTAATATTTCATCCCTTCCCCAAAGGAGCTAATGGGAAAATTAGCCCCCACCCTAATGTGATTTAACTAATGCAAATAAACACCCCAAAACCCCACCCGCTTCGATGTTTCTGTTTCCCTCCTGACATGCTCTTATCTGAACATAATTACCTCTCCTATTCAAATATGTTTCTATTTCTCCCCCCCCACCCCCCCCCCCCCCCAAAAAGAGAGAGAGGCTTTTAACACACCCTGTCTCTGTGAATTATCTCCTTCTCTCGTTCTGCATCCATTTATAAATAGCAATTGGATTAGGGGTTTTATTAGAGCGTATTAAAGGAACATGTGCAAATCAGGAGGTGCTATCTCACCAGCCAGAGCCTGGGCTTATTCTTATCAGTCAGAAACGCCTCCACAGAGCCCCTCCTCCCTCCCCCAAAACAGGGGAGGGGGCTTCCTTGATCAGAGGCGGCAAGCCGAGCAACAATGCGCGGAGCACCAGGGTTTCTAATGAGGCCTGACTGTTGCCTTCAGCTCATCTGCATTGCAAACACGGCCAGCAGAGAAATAGGGCAGAGGGAACAAGCGCAAGAGAGACGGGCACGCCAAGGGGATGGATTATGCAAAGGGGGGGGGCAGGTGGGCGCACCTGGGACCTCTGAGCCTTTGGGGGGCTCCTTGGGAGTGGACGATGGCCTGGAGGTTTCTCCCATCCGCTTCTGAGGGCCCAGTGTAGCTCTGGCAAGGAAGGTTGCTATGTGCTATAGAGAATCTCATCATCTATCTATCTATCTATCTATCTATCTATCTATCTATCTATCTGCACCTATCTATCTATCTGCATCTATCTATCTATCATCTATCTATCTATCTATCTATCTATCTATCTATCTATCATCTATTTATCTATCTATCATCTATTTATCTATCTATCATCTATTTATCTATCTATCTATCATCTATCTGCATCTAT